GATCTGCCTGCCTGTCTCCCCAGCACTGGGATTAAAGGTGTGCACCACTGCCCAGCAATATATTCATTTCTATATTTTTTCATGAAGTGGTGCTGAGTTAATCCAGAATTTTTCTATACCCATTGAGATAATCATAGTGTTTACCCTTCGTTCTGTTGATGTGATCTATTTTGAATTTTGTCTTATATATTGAACCATTCTTATACCATGAGACAACAATCTATAACACTCTATTTCCTTACAATCTTTTTTTTTTTTTTTTTTGGTTTTTCGAGACAGGGTTTCTCTGTAGCTTTGGAGCCTGTCATGGAACTAGCTCTTGTAGACCAGGCTGGCCTCGAACTCACAGAGATCCGCCTGCCTCTGCCTCCCGAGTATTAAAAGTATGCTCCTCTACCCAGCTTGTTTTCTTATACTATTCAACCCTTCTCTCACCATTGGTGGTACTGTTCCAATGAGCTGGACCCTCCTATATCAACCACTGAGACTTACCTGTAAGTCAATCCTATGGAGACATTTTCTTGGTTAAGATTTCCTTTAAAACCAAATTGGTTGCTCATGATTATAAAATTCTAATACTTTAGAAACTTGAGTTAGGTTTGAAGCCAACTTGGACTACACAGTGAAACTATCTTAAAAAAAAAAAAACTTCAGCAGTAAAAAACAAGGACTTCTTGAAGTTTGCAGGCAAATGGGTGGAAATAGAAAACACTATCCTGAGTGAGGTAAGCCAGACCCAAAAAGAGGAACATGGGATGTTCTCACTCATATTTGGTTTCTAGCCATAAATAAAGGACATTGAGCCTACAATTCGGGTTCTTAGAGAAGCTAAATAAGAAGGAGAACCCAAAGAAAAACATATAGGCATCCTCCTGAATATTAACCTTCATCAGGCGATGAAAGGAGACAGAGACCGACATTGGAGCACCGGACTGAAATCTCAAGGTCCAAATCAGGAGCAGAAGGAGAGCGAACATGAGCAAGGAACTCAGGACCGCGAGGGGTGCACCCACACACTGAGACAATGGAGATGCTCTATCGGGAACTCACCAAGGCCAGCTGACCTGGGTCTGAAAAAGCCTGGGTTAAAACCGGTCTCACTGAACATAGCGGACAATGAGGACTACTGAGACATCAAGAACAATGGCAATGGGTCTTTGATCCTACTGCATGTAGTGGCTTTGTGGGAGCCTAGGCAGTTTGGATGCTCACCTCACGAGACCTGGACGGAGGAGGGTTTTCCTCGGACTTCCCACGGGACGGAGAGCCCTGATTGCTCTTTGGGCTGACGAGGGAGGGGGAATGGATTGGGGGAGGGGGAGGGAAAGGGGAGGCGGAGGTGGGGAAGAGACTGAAATATTTAATAAATAAAGAAAGAAAGAAAGAAAAAAAAAGAAAACATGAAAAAAAAAACTGAAAGAAAAACCAGGAAAGGGCTCTAATCCCCACTGGGCAACTGGAGAAAAAAAAAGCCACAAAAACAGCCAGAAGCTCAAATATATACTACAAGCAGCAAACTTTTAAGGCGTTAGTTCAGAGGACACTTGACCAAGTGCTGCGCAGATTAGGTTTCTGGCAACAGAACTAATTTTAGAAAGCACAAATGGTAGATTTGTACTTACTATATTTTAAGATTATCTGGAAGCCTGACACTAGGCAGGGGCAACTGAATTCCAATTGGGCTAAAGTTACTGAAGCCAAATACGTAAATTCTGCTCTCAACCTGCAAAACCAGTCTGAAACAAATGCGTTTCATATTCCATAGTGAGGTCCCATTAAGGTTTTTAAAGACTTGAGTCTTTAGTGAACTCTTAGGTAGTTCATTAACAAACTAACAACTCTAGGTTCCTGATAATGACTAGTATTAGCTTTTTATTAACAAAAAGAATTACCCAGTCAATACCTGTAAATTAGAAAGCTAGTCTTTGATGCTTGTGAGAAAAAGTCATCCAGTGTATATTAAAAGGTTTGAATTAACAAGCTTAATGAAAACTAATTTTAACTATAAAATTAGCACTTTCAAATAGAGTTCCACTAAAATGATGTCTTTTTGGACTTTCTTGTTCAGGTATAAATCCCTCAGTCAATGAGGGTGGAGATGGCTCAATGGTTGAAAGTACTTGTTTCAGAGCACCTACGCTCAGTTCCTAGCATCCACATAGCAAGCTGTAGACTTGCACTCTCTTCTAGCCTGAAAGGGCAATTGCATCCATGTGCACATACTACCCCACGCCATAGACACACACACATCCCTCCAGTCAATGATGGATAAATATGTCGACTTCTGATCATGTCCTCTTACTGAAAATGTCAAGATATAACCTTTTTATAACTTGAACCCTACTGCTCAAAAGTTCTGGTAATGTGCTGAGCACTCGGCCTTATTTTTTATTCCATTTTTATGCCAACACCCCAAATTTATTACAAGTAGGTTCTAAACTATACTATATGCATGCAGTGTTCCTTAGGCCTAACTGTATTTTCCCTATACTTGAACTGGTTTTGACTCAATCTATTTCTATCCTTTAGTAGAAAAAAAAAAAAACCCTCTCTTGCTGTGAATGGTGGAACATGCTTGTTATATTCCTACCCTTGAGAGCAGGAATATTGTCTTAAATTCAAGGCCAGATTGGTCTGAGTGAGTTCCAAGTCAGCCAGGTCTATATATTGACACCCTCTTCCAAACTAATCAATAAAAGAAATGTTTTTGTTTGTTTTCAATTTCTATTAAGGTTGCTTTTGTCTTTTTTCATTCCTTTTTAAGACAGTTTTTTTTGTGTAGACGTTGTTGTCCTGTAGAGAAGGCTGGTTTTAAATTCAGGGATCCACTGCCTTTGTTGGAATTAAAAGCTGTGTGGAATCACCACTTCCTGGCTTGCTTTTGATTTTGCACCACCGTTGGTAAATGGAATAGAGAAATTTTATCTTTGGGCTCCTTGGCATACTAGTACTAGCATTGACAATAATCTGGGTAAACTGAATGATATAGTAAAATACAATAATCTGGATAAACTGAATGATATAGTAAAAGACCCATTAGAAGGCAAGGAAACAAACAGAAGAAACTGCAAAAGAGGTCAGAGGGCTTCAAAACAAATCATTTCACAACCCTGCCTTGTTTTTTAACTGTTTGCCAGCTTGGATAAAAGGGCAAGGAGTCCCCATCCACTCCCTGATAGGGTTTCTCTGGATAGCCCTGGCTATCATGGAGCTCTGTAGACAGGATGGCCTTCTTACTGAGATCCACGTGACTCTACTGGGATTAAAAAACACATGGGACACACATTTATTATTGATTTACTCCCTGTTCTGGACCTGAGACCTATCAATTAACAAAACATTGATTTTAAGACCTCAAGAGACAATGACAATTTATTCAATTTATTAGATTCAAGCAAAAAGGGGGCAGGAACCAGGGAACCAAAAAAAAAAAAAAAAAAAAAAAACACCTGATATTGTTCCCTCATTTCACATTCACTGTTATCCATGAATTATTTGTCTTTTCTTTTTAAATTTTATCAGGGTTTCTCTACAGCTTTGGGGCCTGTCCCAGAACTCTGTAAACCAGCCTGGCATCAAATCCAGAAATCTATTGAGGACTGGGATTAAAGGCATACACCATCACTAGTGGGCATTTGTAAAGTCTTCGGGGTCTGAGTTAGCCTGAAACTGGATTCAAATGACTCCTGGGATATACTCCCATTTTGTACTTTACACAGAAACTCAGTAACTTACTCCTGAATAGAAAATAAATCAAGGATAGAGTCAATAGGGAAATTAAAAATCTGAAAAATGTAGATAACTTATATAAAGCAAATACAGTACTAGAGAGGGAAGAAACATGTACAAGTCCCTGGGTTCAAGTCCCAGGAGCAAAACAAACCCAATAGCCAGGAATCTTGAACTATATGCCCCTTAGTCCCAGCATTTGGGAGGCAGAGGCAGGCAGTGGGCAGCTTGGTTTTAAGAGTTCCACCAATTGCTAGGACCGTCTCAAATTCAAAATGCCAGGTAGTGGTGGCATATATCTTTAGTTCCAGCAGAGGCAGGTGATCCGAGAAACCCACCCAAACCCAATAATAAGCAGAGTATAAAGAGTTTTAATGTTCTAAGTATTAAAAGAAAAACAAGCCAGTTAGTGGAGGATGCATTCAGCAGAAAAGACAATTCAAAGTCCAAGAAACAAAAAAGGAGCTGGTTCTAAATAAGAAAGCCCTCTCCAGCCATTGATAAAACTAGTCTTGAAAAACCAAAAGGTTTCTAAGATGTAAAGTAGCACTGCCATATTTCATCAGTTGAGTTAGAAATAAAAATCTGCAAACACTCAAGAGCTAAAAAATATCAAGCTAGAGAATATCTGATCTGACCCCAAGATGCTCTAACTACACCTAAACAGCATGATGCTAGCTTTGAGCATAGTCAGAACCCATAAAGAATGGGCATTCATAGCCAACTCCTTTTCCAAAGGCAGCAAGGTTAAGTCCAATGGTACCAGAAGGAATTGGATGTTAATAGGTGAGACTACTAGATTCTGTTCTCATAAAAATTTAAAAGTGAATTACTTAAGCATTTTTATCTTAAACTATAAGCTGGCTGGTGAGGCACTTTTGGATCAGACTCCACAAAGCACATGACAGCACTAAACTAAAATTGGACACAATGACACTAGTCTGCAAAGGCTAGATCTGAGTCAACTGTCTACTTTATTAGGAGTGGGAGACCCTGCCTCAAAAATTCCCTGGCAACTACAAATGGATAATCCAAGTTAGCAAGGTAGAAGGGCAAGCTAGGCCGTTCCCTTTAACCAAAGCAGAGGCAGGCAGGACAGCTTTAAGCCCAGCCTGGTCTACAGAGAAACCCTGCTTGCAAAGACCACTCCACAACAGTTCTATTTGGGTATCGCACCCAAAGACAGCCCACAATCCCTGGTATCTCATTTGCCACACAGCAACATTATATGTTGACCCACCCACCATTGACGCAAAGAACTGAAGAAATAGTTGTTGCAAATGAACATTTATTGCAGCATTCAGTTAAGCCCCACTGGGCAAGAAAATATGGCATTTAACAAACCTTACAGGCCACATCATATGCTGTCCCGTTTACACTGAATTCTGTTCACTAGACAAGTGTCATAATCCCAGTAAAGATTCTCATGAAACCACTGAAAATTTTCACCCAGCTTTAATCCCATCCATTTTAAACCCAACAGGACCAATGACTAATCACTCCCATCCACTGATTGCACACAACCCACAACTTTCTGTAAGTGTGATCCCACGTTCTACTCAATAAAAAGTAGTATCGCAGATGGCTCCGCAGGCAAACGAAGTCCCCTTGTTTAGGAGGTAAGATGGAGGAATGAGGACAGCCAGAGCCATGCAAAGACTTCAACTCTAAACACGCCAGTCAACACTGCACATCTTCTTGTCTGCCCTTTTGCCACCTCCAGTTCTCATTCGCCAGCAAAGGCTTGTGTCTCTGGCCCTAGAAAAAGAAACACAGCGATTACAATACTACCAACACTAAAAAAAAAAAACCAAAAACCTAAGGGTGGCTTTTAGAACGGTCTATCTCAGAAGCCAGATCCGTAATTTCGATTTTTCAACAGCAATTTCAGATTCGGGATAGGATCATCATAGATTAGACCAAAAACATGTTCAGAAAATAAAGGAAAAAACCCTCCACTCACACTTGATTCGCCGAGAAGCGCTAGGTACTTAGCAGGCAGCCGACATCTCTGTGCTTTCACTGCCGGCAGAAAAAAAAGCACCATGACACATTTATTATCTACAAAGGCCCATGCAACTAAAACACTCCACTTTTGCACACTTGTTTCTTCCTCCGGGTAACCATCTTTGATACATAACCCATGACTGTTTAAAGTCAATCATCTTATGGTGGCTCATCAATACTATAGCCACCCCAAACCATTAAGAATCCATTAATAGGAAGCTACTTATATGTAAATGTTTCTTATTTATGCTGACAAAAATTAAGATCTAGGCTTCATACACACCTTTTCAATGAGTCAGGTCTTAAACAAATTACTTTTTATTAATTCTCTTGGATGATTTGGGCCTTTCTCCATCTAATTAAAAAATAAAAAAAAGCAAAATTTTAAGCACCGCACAATCGGTCTATCCGTTCAATATGAATCCCAGGCTGCATCACCCTTACCTGGCCATTTCTTTGCAACCGCTCTGAAGACCCAGAAAAAGATGGCGTCATCGCTCCTGTGAAAGGATTGATTTTTAATCAGTCGACTCTTGGGCAACACCAATACATTCTGAACAGCTCCTAACTCCTAGACCCTTCCCTCCGCATGTCCTGATGTGTCAGAACCCACCCGTGCTGGGGCTGAGGAACCAGACCCCAGGGTCCATTCAGGCCGCCCAGCCCCAACCTCCTGGGGCCTACACTCCAATCCTGCAGTCTCTCGCTGCAGATGCGCATTTCCCAGAACAAGCCTTCAACGACACGCTAACCTCAAGCCCCGAGGCTGTTCCACAAAACAGAGGCCTCCAATTTCACCCCGCGCCACGTTATTTCGCGGGCCCATCCGTCCACACCGCGAACTCACCTACAGACAATAGCGGACTCTCAGCTCGCCGACGTAAAAGGACCAGCCGCGCCGCCTGCAGCTCCCTTTATAGCCTCCGTGGCGTGAGCCAGGGGCTGCCCCGCCCTCTCGCTCCGATTGGACTCGGTGCAGTGTAGGGGCGTGGTCTCTCCCTGAGGCACCGCGTGGGAGCGCGCGCCGCCGCTCCTTTCTTCCGGGCCGTTCTGGGGCGTGGTGCGCGCCGGCCGCCGGCCCGCGTGCGCGTCCATCTCTGCGCGCGCCCCCGCCGGCACCCTGCCACCCGTCTCTTCCGAGTCTGCCGGGCCGCTCGGCTCTACGTGGCGTGGGAGTGGCGCCAGAATTCAAACGAACAGCCGCCAGCTTCGAGCCAAGTCGGCTAGGACGGTCGGCGGCTGGGAGCGGCCTTGCGATCGCCGCGCAGGCGGCCTTTGCGCGCTGCTGGCGGAGCAGCGTGGCTGGCCCGGTGACCCGGTGCTGCGCTTGGTCCCTAGCGGCGCAGCGGAATGGACCGTGGCGGACAGAACCACGCGGGTGAAACCCGGGAAGCTTTGCGCTTATCCTTCGTGCACCCTGCGGATCCCGCAGGTCTGCAGAAGGCTACGCCGTCGCGTGCGTGCGGTCCAGTGCCAGCTTAGGCCCCCCAGCCGGGCTCAGCCCCTCCCCCTCCCGGTTACAAGGCACTAGTGACAGTTATTCTGTGACAATCCTGAGAAGTTTAACACTCCATTTCACAAAGGAGGAAGCAGGTCAAAAGCAGCCGGTTGGCCTAAGGTCACACAGCTGTCCTTCGCGACTTTTAAGTTTCTTGCTATTAAATTATAAATGTAAAAATAAGAGGGACTAATTCATAGTCAAACTTGAAACTCAAAAATAATGCTCCAGTAATTGGCATGTATGGGTGAATGTGTGGATGCACAAACTACACTTGTTTTCAGCATTTGGAAACTCGGGCGGGTCTTTATTTGCATTTTGCACTGATAAAATGACGCATGCATTTGTCCTCAGCTTCCGTTACGGTGTGTGAGGAGCTCCTCTGGTTTTTTTGCATTGCTCTTTTATTTGGCTAAGAGCAGAGCCTATGGCGAAATAAGTGTCAGCAATTGTTAAATGAGTGAAGGGATAAGCGTGGTGTCTCTCAGAAAACTCGAATGATTGAACTCCAGAAAAAAGTAATAGCAAAGATGAAATTTCTCCTAGGTGACAAATAATTACTTTTTTTCTTCTTCACAATGTTGCCTAATGTACAGTGTAAACTCAAGCATTCTTCACATTGCTTTTAAAACACCCTCAGGTGGCTGGAGAGAGGACTCAGTGGTTAAGAACACTAGCTGCTGTTCCGGGGGTCCTGAGTTCAGTTCCCAGCAGCCACATGGTAGCTCACAACCGTCTGTAATGCGATCTGGCGCCCTCTTCTGCTCCTAGGCATGCATGCAGACAGAACACTACAGAATACAGAATAAATCAATCAATCTATAAACAAACTTATTTCAGTAAGTAAGGATATAGATAAGTAAATGTCTCCACATCTCTGGCATCTTCTCCCCGCTACTGCTCTCAAGTAGTAATCACCATTAACAATTTTTTGAAATATTAATGCATATACGAATACTTGTACAAATTTCACGTAGGTGTGCAATCTACATATGTAGCCAGCATGATGTTCAGTGTTCAGTAGGATGTATCAGTATGTTTTAAGCAATTTCCAGTTTTTCACTACTGACAACAGCACACAATAATAATAAAATTAAAATTCATCTGGGCAATGGTGGCAATGGTGGCACATGCCTGCCTTTAAACCCAGTACTCAGGAGGCAGAGACAGAGATCTCTGTGAGTAGGAGGCCAGCTGGGTTTATGGAGTGAGTTCCAGGACAGCCAGGGAAACCCTGTCTCAAACAAACAAACAAACAAACAAATAAATAAAATTGATTCAATTAAAAAATAGAAGGAAATCTAGAAAGATAAACCGAGGGAAACCGTTGTCCTCGTACTTAAAATAGCAATGGTAGTAATTTGCTCCCAAGTATTTGAAGTGATTTCATAATAACTGAATGATGGTAAGTGTTGAAGAATTCATTATGCTAAAAAGCTCATTTCCTGTAGTAAACTTTCAGATAAGATCTTTGTTGTGACAATCATTTCAATAAATATTCATTAAGTTCTGGTGTGTGCAGTGTGCTTCAAACCTGATATGAAAGCCCTAAAGTCAGGCTGGAGAAATGGCACTTTGGTTAACAGCTACTACCCAAATTCCGTTCCAGCACCCGTATCAGATTCTGACTCCAGTGGATCAAACATCCTCTTGTGGCCTTTGAGGGCACTGGCACACTCATAGCATATACAGCAATCAAAATTAAAAGTGTAAAGAGAAAACACCAAAGTCTTTGCCCTTCCCAAAGGAACGGTTTAGTTAGAAGTTCCCATTCAACTTTGAACAAATAGAATTTAAGGATTAGTGCAACCAGGGCTGCTGAGGTGGCTTAGTGAATAAAAACCTTGCCAGGAAGGCCTGGTGATTTCAGTTTGATCCCTGAAACACCTGGAGACATGGAAGATGAGAACAAACTCCAAAAAGTTGTCCTTTGACCACCATACTTGCATTGTGGTATGTATGCCCACTCACATATGCACACATGCTATAGTGATGATATGAATAAATAATGTAATTATTTAGATAAAAGATTGTGTGGAACATCACAATAATGTTAGCCATTGAAATAAGGTAGGAAATAGATTCACATAGTAAAGTCCTTGTGTTAGCTTCAAGTTAAGTGCCTTGTCTCCGGGCTTCATTTCCAGCCTGTGTCTTTAAATATATGTGCTCAGGTATGCATGTGCAGGTGGAAGCCTTAGGTGTTAACTTCATGAACACCATCCATTTCTTTTTGAGTGGGGTCTTGGGCTGGAGAGATGGCTCAGCGCTTAAGAGCAATGGCTGTTCTTTTAAAGATCCCGGGTTCAATTCCAAACCACCGTGTTGTGGCTCGTAATGAGATTTGGTGCCCTCTTCTGGCCTGCAGGCATACGTGCAGGTAGAATACTGTACATATAATAAATAAATAAATATATATTTTTTAAATAGGGGTCTCTTATTTGTCTGGAGCTCACAATAAGTCTAGATTGGCTGAGATATGAGCCCTGGGGGTCCTCCTGTTTCCACCTCTCAGTGCTGAAATTATGAGCATGTGCTACAACCAGCATCATTTTTATGTGGTTCTGGGGATCAAATTCAGGTCTTAGGCTTACAAAGCAAATGTTCTACCTATTGAACTATCTCTGCAGCTTTGCTATTAGGTTCTCAAGATCATTAGATCGATGTAATCTTCAAAACGATTTTAGTGTGTTTTTATTTGTTTGTCTGGTTTTTCAAGACAGTTTTTTTTTTTTTTTTTTTTTTTTTTTTTTTAATAGGCCTGTCTGTTCTGGAACTCGATTTGTAGACCAGGCTGGCCATGAGGATCCAAGTGCTGAGATTAAAGGTGTGCACTGCCATCACCCACCTCTAGTGTGTATTTTTAACCTTATCTGCTAACTTTCGTCATAGTGACAAAGACTTTAGATCAATGGTTTTCAACTTGTGGGTCTCGATCCTTCGGCAATCCTCTTTCTCCAAAAATCTTTACATTATGATTCATAACAATAGCAAAATTACAGTGATTAAGTAGCAATGAAATGACCTTATGGTTGGGGGTCACTACAACACAAGAAGCTGTATTAGGAGCTGTACTAGGAAGACTGAGAACCAGTGTTTTAGATAATGAACTTCGTAAAGAGAAAGGCTTTGTTTCATGGTTTGGAGGTTCTTGCCCATGACTGCTTGGTCCATTGCTTAGGGCCTATGACGAGGCTGGCAAAGTACATAACAGACCAAAACTACTCCCCCATGGCCAGGAAATGAAAGAGAAGAGAAAGAAACCAGAGCCCTAAGAGTGCACTTCTGCTGACCTAAAGACCTGCTAGGTTGCTTCTTAAATGCTGGGTAAGGGTTGTGGTCAACTTGATAGGATTTATAATGACCCAAGAGCCATACCTTTGGATGTATTTGTAAGGATGTTTCCAGAGAAATTGAGCTGAGGATGGGGCTGGAGAGATGGCTCAGCGGTTAATAGCATTGCCTGCTCTTCCAAAGGTCCTTAGTTCAATTCCCAGCAACCACATGGTGGCTCACAACCATCTGTAATGGGGTCTGGTGCCCTCTTCTGGCCTGCAGGCATACACACAGACAGAATAATGTATACATAATAAATAAATATTAAAAAAAAAGAAATTGAGTTGAGGAAAGAAGATCACTCTGAATATGGATGGCATCATCCTTTGGAGTGGTGGGGTGGGGGGTGGGGAGGGCAGACAGAATAAAACCTGAAAAAGGCGAAAGTGAGCTGGGTACCAGCATTCACTCCTGACTGTGGAGGCAATGTGACCAGTTGCTTCACATTCCTGCTGCCGCAACTTGAGCCATTTTTGCCATCATTCTTTCTCCTAAATGGTGGATTACACATAAGCCAAAATAAATGTTTGCTAAAATTTCTTTCCTCTGGTACTTTGTCATAGTAAGGGAAAAGCACAGCCACTATCCTGCATTGCCAATGTGGGCACCAAGCCTCTAACATATGGGTTTTGGAAGACACTTAAGATCCCAACTATTGTACTGTGCTTTAAAAATGAGGAAAAAGATGCATGGAGATCTGAACTAACCAATATTTCCAAATGATTGTGACTCCAGACTCATAATCATGCCAGCCACGCATGCTATTGCCGAGGAAATGGGAGGATAAGATGATGAATTGTGGGAGCAGAGAGGAGGCAGAGTGAACCTACTGGGGAAGAGAATGGCAGCCCCAGTGACTCATGGGAGTTTGAGATCAAGAACAAGAGGATGACATAATTTTGCTCTTGTCAAATTTTAACAAAAAAAATCAGTGATTTGGATGTGTATGGGTGTTTGATTGCTTTCATGCCTGTGTGCCATGTGTTCGAAGTGCCTGCAGAGGCCAGAAGAAGGTGTCAGATCCCCTGGCCTTGGAGTTACAGGTGATTGCGAGCCAC